GCAAGAAGCGCCTGTCCGGTGAGGCTGCCTGGGGGCGGCCGCGCAGTCATCCCCCCGGCACGTCTGGCTGGTCGCCTTCGTGAATGCATCGAGGGCTGCGAGCTGGGGCACGTCCAGATCACAGTGGAGCACGGCCGCGTCCGAGCACTGTGGTGGGGGGGTGATCTCTGAGCGCCAGCCACAGCTCGTTTCCTCAGAAAAAGCGCTGTGAGCGGCTAAGCGGGAGCCAAAATAAAACCCGCTGTGTGCTTGGCTCTTGATCCCGGCGGGTTTCGATGCTCTTTGACATCACAAGTGGCTTTAGAGAAGCCAGGTCCCTGCTGCCAGGGAGCTGAGCCCACCGTCCCACCACCCCTGTGCTCCACCTGCGGCCGGGCTCCCATCCTCGCAGCGCCCTCGCAGACGGCCAGAAATCCCAACTCCCGACACCCGTCACCCAAACTAAGCGACTTTCTTGTCCCGGTGCCGCAGGTGTGTCGAGAGTACCAGCGTGGCAACTGCAACAGGGGAGAGAACGACTGCCGGTTCGCGCACCCCGCCGACAGCGCGATGATCGACACCAACGACAACACCGTCACCGTCTGCATGGATTACATCAAAGGGAGATGCTCACGGGAAAAGTGCAAATATTTCCACCCTCCTGCACACCTGCAAGCCAAGATCAAGGCTGCCCAGTACCAGGTTAACCAAGCTGCAGCTGCCCAGGCAGCAGCGAAAAAAAAATGAGTTTGGGAAACACCTCTGGAACAGAAGTATGTGGTTGAGAGACAATAACTGATGTGTTAGCTGTTCTCGCTGGAGGGGGGTGCGTGTGCGTGTGCTCGGGGGTCCCAGTCACTACTCGGTGCAATGAGCTTTCTCAGCATGTGGTGCCAGATCTGCTCTTAAGTAGTTTCCACCGTGAAGGTGTTTCACTAATTTTGCCTGCTGGTGTACGGAGTATCTATATGTACATATACGTGTGCATACGTGTGTGCGTGTCTGTGTGTGTGTGTGTGCCTATACGTATTTATAGTTTATTGTACGTTTGTGTGGGTAGACCTGTATCTATCTAGTCGCACAGATAGATAAACCCGTATTTCAGTTACCGTAAGTCTGTGTTTCCAGAGACTTAGTTCGAAGTCGACCTTACTGTGTTAGTGCTGTTTGTAGCCCGCCCCCCCCCC